TGACAGATCTGAGTACCGGCCCCCGTTGCCGGTACCATGTGACCTGCTGTGACCAATCACAGCAGGTCACATGACAGTTGTATACAATGGATGGCTTCATTCATGCCATCCATTGTATACTAGTGCCTTGCTGTGAATGGTCACAGCAGGTCACATGCACATGTCATGTGATTATGTGATTAGCTGTGGCCAAATCACAGCTAAGCACAAAAAAAACAAAAAACAAAAAAAAAAAACCTGAATGAATCAATTTCATTCAGGTAAATATGCTTGCTTATAGCCAAGTAATTCTTTGCTATAAGCAAATTGTGTAAAAAAAAAAAAAATACTGATCACTTCCCCAAAGTAGTACAATGTTACTATGGTAAACATTGTACTACTTTGGTCATTGTAAAATATGAAAAAAAAATCTTAATTTTTTTTTTTTAAAATGTAATAAAAAATTAAAAATAATTAAAAAAAAAAAATATATATATATAATATTTATGTCATTCATACTGTCACCAGTCAGTGTCCCTGTTCACCGCCATGCCAGTTATATGATGACGCTTGTACTGCACTAGTGACAGTATGTAAAAAAGAATAGTGAAAAATAATTTTTTTAATTTTTTAATTTTCCGAAAAATTATGACAAAAAAAATACTACTTCAAAAAACTTGCCATTCCTCTTATGAAGTACGTCGGACTGTCTACTCTGCAAAAAGGGATCATTTGGGGATATCTGTACTATTCTGACATTCTTGGACCTCAAGAAATTAGATTGGCCGTCAGTACTTCAGGATTGATCAATATTCAGATATATCCCATAGTTTGTGAACTCTAAAACTTTCCTACAAACTAAATAATACATCCTAATTTGGGTTATTTTCACCAAAGACATGTAGCAGAATACATCTCGGCCTAAATTTATGAAGAACAATTATTTATTTGTAAACTTTTATAACAGAAACAAGGAAAAAAGTGGTTTTTTTTTTCAACATTTTTGGTCTTTTTTTGTTAATTTAGCAAAAAAATGAAAAACCCCAGCGGTGATTAAATACCACCAAAAGAAAGCTTTAGTTGTGTGAAGAAAATGATAAAATTTTAGTTTGGGTACAATGTTGTATGACCGCGCAATTGTCATTCAAAAGTGTGAGAGCGCTGAAACGCGAAAAAAATGGCCTGGGCAGGAAGGTGTAAAATTGCCCGGTATTGAAATGGTTAAAGTCGATGACATTATGCCTAACTGATTGATTAGTTTGCTAAAGAAAAATGTAACCTAAATAACTGACATTAAAAAAACCTTTTTAAAACCTTGTGGCATCTGAGTGATGCTGATCTCCTGCAACCTCTTTGCAGCAATTTCATTCTATATGCATGTACTTCAGTGATGACTGCATTTCACAAGGTGGCTCTCCTTATGGTGACAACAGTGGTCTGTGCCTGCATAATGTGTGTTGAAAGTCCTCTTGTAATTTCTATCAGAAGCCCATATGGCAGGATGACAATGCAGCATCATGACTGTTGTCACCCTATAATCAGCAGAATAGGAGTATAAGATGAAAAGCCGGAAACTCGTTCTCCCGATAAAAGTACTTTATTCATAAAGGGTACAGTGTGCAAGTTACAGCAACTTACGCGTTTCGGTAAAACACCTTATTCATAGCCATCATCGGCAGTGCCTGAACCAGGACTTTTATGGCAGGAACACCAAATGTTATGTTAATGAAAGCGGCAGATATGAGAGTATTACAAATTACTTTTGAAATCACATGGCATTTTAGTAATTGGGTTTGTATCCAATTTAAAGCCAAACTCCATGCAGATGTAAAATACACAAATTAACAAGCCATTTGTGTTCGGAAGCGGCATGTTTCACCTTCTTTATTACCAGACAATTTTTTTCCGCATTGAGCACTGTGATACTTTGACTGACAATTATTAAGTCATGTAACACTGTGTCCAAATTAGTTTTATATGATATTTATGAGACAGATATTGGGGAATTCAAAATAGCCATAATGACACATTTCTGGCTGTAGTTCCCTTAAGAGTTCGTATTATATTCAGATAATACATTGCTTGTTTAATCATTTTTTTTATACTGGAAAAAAAGGTAAAAGATTTCTGTATTTATTACTGTTTATACAGCCTGATTGAATTACAGTAATAAATAACGAGGGATCAGCTCTCAATGTTTCTCTTCCAGAGTCCACTGTGGACTTTTTAAAGTGTTACTAAACCCACAACAGTAAAATTAATCTATATATGTGGTAAAGCATGCTTGTTATACTCACTGTAGAACTTAAGGGGTTAATTCCCCGTATTGTGTAAAAAGGTTGTTTGATCCTTTCTTCCCCAATCCTCCCCTTCGTCTACTGTCCCCAATCCATCTGCTGATAGTACATAGCTCTAGGAGACACTCTGCACATGCTCAGTTTGGTGTGCATTGCTAGAGAGTTTTTTTTTTCTTGGGAGAGTGCATGTGATCAGTACAGGGCCAATCCGCACTGTCCAGACAGAGGGTCAGAGGTCATACACCCTTATAGGATTGTCATAGAAGAATGGAAACACCTCCTACAAGCTTTAACCAGTGCTCTGCTGGACACTGATAGAAGTAACAAGACTGCTATATACTGCTGACGAGAAAAGGTATTTAGCAGTTTATATTTACTAAAATAATTGCATTTCCATGTTCTGTGTATTGTGGGAGACCAGATAGTGAATGCAGGGTCCTGGGTTTAGTAACACTTTAAAATGTTGCGCTTTAGGAATTCTTTCTGTTTCTTGTTTGTTAGGGAACTGGGCCATATGGCTAAAAGTGTCTGTAAGCAGTAACAAATAGTAAGAGGAGAGGATCAATGTACATGTGTAAAAGAACAGTTCTTGTATGCATTGCCCACTGATTGATTTATATGTACTCTTTTGTTGAATTTTCCCAGCACGTGATGATTTTCACCCTACGGTTGACTGTAAAGACAATGCAATGACAGTCTCAATGAAGCAATGTGAGCTAGAAAACACTTGGTTACGACCCTTCCACAATTCATGTGAGGGATCCATCAGTGGGCTGCAATTACATTTATATTAATCAAAAGGTCAATGGATTCAGAGTGACATATTTTATGGTCCAAGCAAGATCCATTTGGTGTGGAAACACATTGACGGTAAACACACTATTGATTTATTCATTCATTTATTTTAGCAGCTCTTTTCGGCTTGTATGTATTGTTTACAACAGGAAATATTGCCTGAAAGCCCAACTCCAGCCAAAACATTTCATTTCATTTAGGGCCAGTTCACACCTGATTCCCACACAGGGCCACAGTCTGTGTTCCTGTGCCATTCCTCTGTGACTCAGTGTGGTGTGATTTTCAACCCATTCATTTGAATGGACCTGAACTTACACTGGATCGCACCAAAAGTAATGCAAGTAACCACTTTTCAAAAGCGCACTGCACTGGATCGCATAACACTGCAATACCATCTGAATCCGGTGCAGGGAAACGCACTGTGTTTGGGATCTGCATTTGGGATGTCATTAGGATTATATGGACACTCACAGCAGAGTGCATTTTGAATGCAGTGTGGGAAATGCACATGAAAACAATGGGTTTGCCCATTTTGGTTGTGAATGCGCCCTTAGGCCTGCGTTTTTTTCAGAGCATTTTCAATTCTGCAGAAATGCACTATAGTCCACTTAACATGGTTTCCCTATGGGTATACGTTCACATCTGTAACATTTTCTACTGGTGTGTTTTTTGGAAAGGATCAGGGACTTTTTTTTCTCACAGCAGTTGTGTTTTTGGTTCCATAGATTCAATGGAAATGCAGCCAAAAATGCATCAAAAACACAGTGCTTACATTTTTGTATGTGTTTCGGTTTCTCCTGAAAGTAGACAACAGACATTGTCCCCCAAAAACACAGAATGCAAAACCCATCAAAAACGCATTTAAAAACATGTCAAGGAACACGTGTGAAAAAAATCTGCATAGGTGTTACCCAGGTCTGAAGATAGAGCAGGGAAGAGTTTAGGAACCCTGTCTCTCCTTGTTTGGAGAGATTTCTCTTTGTAGGCATCACAGTTGCTAAGAAGTGGAGAGAAGATCTTTCAATGGGGTCACTGAGAGAAAATCTTACCTCTTCCTCATTCCTTATATAAGGAAATTTGGGCTAGTGGTAAGCTTTAAGGGATATCTCTACTTTTCGTACATTTACATCCCTTAAAAATGCAGATCCCCTCTCCCCCAGAAAGCTCCTTGAGACCTGGTTCACTCCAATGCATTTTTAGTGCTTTTTGCAGAAACGTACTACAGTCACATCTATGCTTTTTTGAGCCGCTGTATTTTTTGGAAAGGGTCAGGGACATTTTTAAATGCAAAATGTTGCATTTTTGGTTCAATAGATTTCAATGGAGATGCTGCAGAAAACGCATGTACTGCGTATTTTTGAACGCATTTTGCATTTTTTAAATCTGACCCAGTAACAAATTTGGCCCCCTCAAAAAATGCAAAACGCATCAAAACCACTGCAAAAAAAAGCACTGTAAAATGGGCAAAACGCAAACTATATTGGTGTGAACCAACAGGTCTAATTTTTTCACTTACAAATCTATGGTTCATGAAGATCTTATCTTTGGGCCACTGGGTGCTACATAGTCCCTCTTTCACAAACCTCCGGCTCCCCCTCCCCCCAGCAGGTCAATTGCAAGGCAGAAGACTTTCCATTTTTTTGCTAGGGGGGAAGCCTGTTGATTGTTGGGCTCAACGATTGACATGCTTCATTAATCCATTAGGCAGAGTGAAGTGACACCCCTCTATATTTCAAAGCTGGTTTTTTCATTGCTAATTACTTGACAGTGACAGAACAAATTTATGAAGTAAAAGCTCTAACATTGTTTCTGTTTGCTACAACACTTTGTCGGTATTCCTCCTTCTTTCCACAGTACGATCAATCCTACATGTCAATATATCCAACACCGTGTACATTTGGAGTCCTGATACACAATCATGTCAGATTCAATAATATCAGCTTTAACTTTACCTGTGTGTATAATCGGGATATGGTAACAAGTCTGAAACTGCCTGGAAATATAACCTATCAGTAAGAAATAATATCACACTAACTATGTATAAGCGTTTTGCTTTAATGTAAAGACACTTAACATATTTTTTTTTTTGTTTTCTTCATTAACCTCTCATTTCCATTAATGGGTTTATGATATTTATAACATTATATAGCAATGAATACTATTTATACTGTATATGGCTTAGATTTTGTGGATCCAGGAGCATGATATTGTGTACTATATGGTGTTAGTACAGGCCTAGCCTTAGATTTTTTTTATATCATGTTCAAGTGCATGCTAAAGTAATCAGTAAATGCATAGCTCCCAACTGTCCTTGATTTTGAGGGACTGTTCTCTGATTTGGTACCAAACAAAGTTCAAAGTTTTGCCTCTCCTTCCTCCTCATTTGTCCCTCATTTTGGCTTGATCTATATAGCTGTATATTAAATTCACTATTTATCTAATCAAAGAGTGTTTTGCAGTGTAAAACCTTTCATCCCAAGTTTCTAAGTTGCTGAATTTGTATATTTCAAAAGCCAATACAGAAAGGAATTAGTAAGTGGTAAAAAAAAAGCACTTGTGGGTTTAACCAATCATTCTCCTTTAATGAGGGCATGGCAGGGGGTGTATCCTATGTCTACATACACTTTGCTAATAGTGTGTCCCTCATTCCCATCTCAGAAAGTTGGGAGGTATGGTAAATATAATACACTAAGGGATTTACACTTCACCGACCACTTTAATTAGTGTACACCTCTGTTCAATTGCTTGGTAACATAAATTGCTAATCTCAGCCAATCACATGGCAGCAACTCAATGCATTTTAGGTATCTAGATTGGGTAAATAATTGACTTGCTGAAGTTCAAACCAAGCCTTTAGAATGGGAAAAAAGGGGATTTATGCGTGACTTTGAACATAGCATGTTTTGTTGGTGCCAGATGGGCTAGTCTGAGTATTTCAAAAACTGATCTACTGGATTTTCATGCACAACCATCTTTAGGGTTTACAGAGAATGGTCCAAAAAAGAGAGAAAATATCCAGTGAGTGGCAGATGTTGTGGATGAAAATTTGCCCTTGTTGATGTCAAAGGTCAGAGGAGAATGGGCCAGAACTGGTTTAGCTGTTGACATTCAGAAGGTAGCGTGCAGAATTTGGGGCATATAACAACATGAAAGGCATGGATCCATAGCCTTGCCTTGTATCAACAGTTTCAGAAGGCTTGGTGGTGGTGGATGTAATTGGTTGTGGGAGATGTTGTTCTTGGCCACTTAAGCAAGGTGTCTACCTAATAAAGTGGCCGGTGAGTGTAGTATCCATCACAGGGATCCACAGTTGTCCTCCCTGACAATGCTTTCATCTGCTTTTCTCTCCGAGCAAAATTCATCTTGTTCATGCGCATCACCCAGGGTCATCACTTTATCTGCCTGGCTTGGATAATACTAATCAAGAAACAGATGTGTCATAATCAGTGCAGAAGACCTGTATGGCTGGTGTTAGGGGGCTGTGTTACACCTCGTAGGTGTAGGGATCAAAAGGAAAAGCATAGACCATTACCACTAACTGAAGAGCCAAAAGATAATCAAACGCAGGATGCTGAAAGTCCAAAGCATCATTATCCCAGCCCAGTGCTCCGCCGTCCCTGGGATTCCTAAAATATGTCAGCTTCCTCTTGCTTTTCCCTCTAGAAGGGTGGCTGGAAATGTGAATCAGAGCATTCTTTTGACTTGGGTCAGCACTTTCCATGTGTACTGCTATTGGCCATTCATGAACTCCCATCCTCTGATGCATCCCTAGGAAAAAGAAGAATAGGTAAAACAAGCACGATTATTCAAACCCCCAAATCTCTGCGTCCAATGCGAAAACAATGATGGTTAAAACTGTCAATCACGCCACAGAGGTCAGTGCAGCGGGGACCATGGAAGGGGGAAGGGGGTAGGGTTGTTAGTTGCAGTTCACCTTTTCATTTTTTACTGTAAAGGTGAACTTAACATTTTATAAGGGCACTGTCAAACATTTGTATTGCTCTCTGTTGAAACATCAGTGATGAGATTGCCTTCCCTACTGACTATCCTGTTCCTGGTGACAGGGTGTCCCAGGGAACCCAATGCAGGAACTAAAACATTCTGGGCGAAGGTTAGAATCTGTGTCTCAGATCATTTTTAATGCTTGTATATGTCTTCCTGTCTCAATGACACCTTTACTGTCTTTCTTAGCAGAGAGGGGGGGGGGAGGGGGGGGGGGGGGGGGGGGGGGGGGGGGGGTCTGGGGGGGGGGGGGGGGGGGGGGGGGGGGGGGGGGGGGGGGGGGGGGGGGGGGGGGGGGGGGGGGGGGGGGGGGGGGGGGGGGGGGGGGGGGGGGGGGCAGGGGGGGGGAGCAGCGTGACAGAAAGTGAGAGGGAAATCTCTCAATAAGTTTATATGCTCACTGCATGTTGTTTATTTTGGTGTATTATTGGAGGACACATCTGGTTATGGGCATAAACAACTGTTTTTTTACCTCTTAAAACTTGATATATACTGTAAATACATATACTGAACAAACACCTGTATAAATATACATATATTTACAGTACACAGTATATTCGGGTATATACACGGTCTATATACATATCTACAGTATACATATATATATAATACAGTATCATAAAAGCACACAAAACACACTACATACTTTCAAACCAGGATCATTTACTGCCACAGCCAGCTTCACAGTTCCGCAATGTGGTGTTTGGCCCAGCGAGCAGTGTACCCGAGGGTTTTCGTGTAATTAACTGTGTGGATTGGACCACAGAAACCAGCTTAAGCTTTTCATTGCTTTGTGTTACTAAACCCACAACATAAAATCAGATCTGTATATACAATTAAAGCATGATTGTTATAACTCGCTACTGTGGAATCTAAGGGGATTAATCCTCCTCATTGTGTACAAAGCGCTGTTGCGTATCCTGCTCTTTTCTGATCCTCCTCTTCTACTGTCCCCAATCCATCTGCTGATAGTACAGAGCTCTAGGAGACACTTTACACATGCTCAGTTTGGTGTGTATTGCTAGAGAGTATTTTTTCTTTGCATGTGCATGTGATCACACAGGGCACTCAGTACTGTACAAACAGAGGGTTCCGTGGTCATGCAGCCTCATAGGACAGAGCACAATGAAAAGAAAATTCCCTCCTCAAGATTTGAAACTAGCGCTGGCGGCTGAAACACTGACAGACAAGTTCACAAGACTTTAACTGCTGATATGAGAAAAAGGTAATTTAGTGGTTTTTTCCTTCTATTTACTAAAATAATTATGCATTTCCATGTTCTGTGTACTGTGGGATACCAGATCTAGTGAAAATGCAGGGTCCTGGTTTAGTTACACAAAAAAAAAAAAAAAAAAAAAAAAAAAATATTAATGCATTAAAATGTAATGATTTTTGTAGGCATACATGGTGTTTAGAAGGCTATTGCTGCTGTCATCAGGAAATAAATTGTGATTTAACTTGTTACTGGTCTAGTGTACCTAGATTGTGAGCTCGAAAGAGCAGGCCCTTGACCCCCTTGTTTTTTGTTACTGTAATTGTCTCATGTTCTCTGTCCCCCCACTATAATGTACACAGCGCTGAGCAAACCTTTTAAGCGCTATAAAATACTGTATAATAATAATAATACTGCGTTTTTTGTTACCTAAAAATGTGTTTTGTTTTCTCAGAACAGTATACCTGTGCTGTCTGGAGCCAATGAAACTGCGGAACATGTATCCTGTTACCATGGCTGCTTATAAAGATTCAACATTTACAAGATCATATCAAAATGAAGAAGAAGTGACAAATTGGAACAATGATCTATGTGGGAATATTTGTGACAGGAGCTGATGGAAAGATATATGTTCTCCGGATAGAGACTGTGTTTGCAAGTCCAAACAGATAATCGTAAATGATGTAAATAGTGTTTATCTTATAAAAAAATGGGTAAGTCTACATTTCTTATACAGCCTAGAGATGAAAGATGAAAGAGATTGAAAGAAAATGTAAAGATCTAGAACTTCACATAGCACGGAGTGCGAAATACAAAAGAAGCGCAGTTATAACTTAAGGAAATGAAAATAACCTTGCAAACATCTTCCTGATTTAGCTGGAATCAGTAAAAGTGGCCTTAGGCTGGCCATAGACGAGCCGTTTAATCGGCCGAATTGTCGGTCGATAAATGAAAATCGGTCATTTGCCATTGCCGATGCTGCCACCAATGTCTACGAAAAATGGCCGTTTTTCATAGATTTTCCAGCATGACCGATAAAAAGAAACAAAAAGATCCCCGAAAAACGGTAATATATGTACCCCCAACGTGGCACCATCCCAGCATAGATGTCTAGTACAGAAAGATAGCAGAAAACTGGAATGTAGAGTTGTATCTGGTCAAACTGGGTGATCCTGTTCTATCTCCAGTGAAAATGGGATTTTTTGTGTTGTGTCAGCCACCAGGAGGAAAAATCTGTAATATCGCGAGCAACAGTATTATAAAAAAATTTTATATTTTTTATTGGGTTCATCATTAAAAAACAAAGTCACAAATCACTTCACTTTTTTTTAAAACCAAATGATCTTTGAAGATGATATCACATGTGGTTACATTCACATAGCAGTAAGATGCACAATAAGCGTATAGGATCAACGCTTTTTCACTGGCATTTGCTTCCTCAGGAACCCACTCTTTAGATTAAACCAGAACTCTAACAAAAAAATTTGTTATATATCATCTTCAAAGATCATTTGGTTTAAAAATGAACAATGACTTTGTTTTGTAATGATTGAACCAATTAAAGTACATACATTTTTTTAGTACTGTTGTTCTATGTGATATTACAGATTTTTCCTCCGATTAGCTGACACACACAAAGTCCCATTTTCACTGTGAGAAAGAACAGGTATCACCCAGTTTTGACCGGATACAATTGTACACTCCCATTTTTCTTCTTTTTCTGTTATAGACATATGCTGGGATGGTGCCACGCCGGGTACATATATTAAATTCCAGACCCATCTTCCATCTTATAGATACAATAATTTTTGCCCTTCACTGCAGAACCTTTTTAGCATATCCCTCATTTTAATTGTGTGATGTGGTGTCATCCATTCTAAATGAATTCTGCACTTGCAGAGGCGATTGCATTTCAAGCATACTGCATGCACAGTAACACAACGGTGCAATTGTGGTTGCCAAAAAAAAAGACCAGGTCCTATTTTATGTGCTGGTGCTATTGTGTTGCCAAAACAAAGGCCAGTGAACCCAATTTTATGTGGGACTGAGGTGCATTGGCAGCCCATTGGAAATAAATGGACTTTCTCTTAACGCAACATGTGCTAGCAAGCTGGTAGTAACGTTGGGACAAAAGTCTTTTCCAGATGAATATGGCAAACTGTGACCAATCCCCTCCTGATGTGCGCACTTCATTGTTTTCTTCAGCTAGGAACTCACATTTGCAGTTCCCCAGTCTGCTAATGAGATTTCACGTGGGCCTGGAAGTGCGCTGTCATGTTTGTGGGAACCTGTTGTGTGTCTCTCCGTCGGTCTCCTTATGCTGATTGTGAATAGTGTCAGACCAGCCAGAGGCAAAATGCAAGCCAGGGCTCCAAAGGCATTGCTAGGATTGTGAAAGACTTGAGGTACTGGGACAGTTCAGCTAGAGGCAAGGTGTGGTGCACCTATGCAAGGAACTGATGGTGGGGCCACCTGTTTACTAACAGAGGGAAGGGTTTAAAGGGGTATAGTTTAAATAGGACCTCCACCTGTATGCTATACTATATATATATAATACCCTAATAAAGCGCCCCATGATTGCATATTTTCCTTTAAGTCAAATGTGGCAAACTCTATCAAAGAGCAAAGAAATGAAATGGTTCAATAAGATCATTGCTGATTTCCTTGAGGTGATTGTAGCTGTTTATTAGTTCACTTGTGACAGAAACAATTGAGTACTGTCCGTGATACTTTTTTTATTTCACTAACAAACAATTTTCAGGACAAGCTGCTTGGACCCTGAAGTAGGGAACATACCCTGAAAGGTTGTCCTGAAAATTGTATGTTAGTTGCAAATAAAAAAAGTATCACGGACAGTACTCAATTGTATCATTGCTGATTTACAATCAAGGCAAAAATCAAAGCCTAATTATGGAAAAGTAATATTTCATTTTCCTAAGTCATGCTAAAACCTGCCAGTTTGGTCAGCAGTGTAACCAAAAACTTCTTGCATGGTTTTTCTTCTTCTTTACAGCTGCCCCCAGGGACCTGTTTCCACAACTGTGTTACAAAATAGAAATGCATTAGAAGCAGCTTTCAGCATAAGCTCATTTCAGTTTCAAAATCAGGCCAATGTATACCTTTTCTGTGATGTACGTTTGTGTGACAACACCACTGAAACATGTTCTGGGGTAAGTGATAAATGCCTTTTCTATGAAAAGAGGCTGAGATTGTTTGGCAGCAATGAAGCATTTCTCTAAAGGTGTCCATAGGCATTACATGACAGTTTAGATTGTCTACTGGCTAGGAGCAACATGCCATACACTGTGGTTGATTTGCCTTCCCATTGAGGTACCATTTCATGTTGATAGAAATCCAGCAGTTGCCACCTATGACTGTGGGTTGTCAGATCTTCACTAGCTGTGAAGATGCCTATTACTGTCCATGGCCACGTGAAAGTGATTTCTTTCATGGCAGAAGTACAGGGTTGCCATTGCTGGCCTCCTTCTGTAGCTGCCTGGCTATATCTGATCAAAGCAGTATTGAACCCGAACCAAAAATGTGATATATTGCAGCTTACAATGATTAGATGTGTTGGCTTGCCTTCGTTTTCTTTTTTAAGTTTTTTTCCCCCTCTGTTTTCACCTGGTGATCTGGCCAGTAACACACCTCCTGTATTAGAGTGCCCCCACTCTGGATGAAGGAGCACAAGGGGCAACTTTGGACAACAACATTCTCAGTCTCGGGGAAGGGGAGTGCTAGATTTACTAGCAGTTTTAAAAAAACACTAACAACTTGAAGCCATACTGCGGCTAATACTTTATAAGCAGTTACAACAAACAGTTGTGTACCTTTTGGGATAAAGGCTTTACATGAATAAATGAAAGCTGATCATTGTAAGCACCCCTGCCAGTGAAAGATGTTTTTGTCTCATCCCTGTAACTGATACTTCTGTGGGAGCACGTGTTCTTTTGAAAAACAACAAACTTACTGGCCAGCTCACCGGACGAAAATAAAAGAAAGCCTAAAAAAGAAATAAATGCAGACATCACATCTAAGAATTGATAAGCTGCAATATAATAAATGTTTTGATTTCAGGTTTATTACTGCTTTAAGTGCTTTTAAATAAACATACATGCTGGAAATGAGTGTCAGAAAAGTGTCAAAACTTGTTGCAGGTTAGCGACTCAGGGAGCATTGCAGCCAAAGCATCAGGATGACAGCCAGGGAACTAGCATTCTCAGAGACTTTTGCAATGGCATCCTCCATAATCTCACATGAAAGATTTTCTTTAAAGGACAACAGTATTCTTGTATAACTTAAAACCCCACTCTGGACTGCTGTTACATTTCCCATGTAGTGGGGTCCCCCATGCAGTGAAAGATGGACATGGGTTAAATGCTCATGTGACTAGGGGGGCAGGAATAGGTCATGCTTACCTTATTTTTCACTCCCACAGGCTTCTTTCTCCTCATTCAATGCTGCTTCACTTCACTGCCTGGCCAGTTGCAGCTCTATGACGTGATCATGCAGGGAGAATGGAATATTTGTACTTCCCCCCCTAGCTAAACAAGCATTTATCCATGTAGTGCATGGGGGACCCTGCATGGGTACATTTAACAGCAGCCTGGAGTTGGGCTTTAACTCTGAAAGCCCCTTTCTTTCCCTTTATGCTACTAGACATCCTATACATACCTCAGATTAGCAGATCACCTGGACTTGGAGTCATGGTCTATGTTGTCCTCCTTCAAGCCGGTTAGGAAATGTACAGCTGTATCTTCATAGGCTGCTTTAGTTGTCAAACATTTTCATGCAGATGACAGCCAGAGTTTCATTTCATTTTGTTCATGAGACAGGAATCTTATTCTTCATGTCCTAGTTTGTAAATCCATACAGTATTATATGAGGGTTCTTCAAAAATGTTTCTGAATTTTTTAAACTCTATTACATATACAAAAATGCGGAAACCTTTTGAAGACCTCTGGTATAATGATCTATATAATGACCTATGGTGTGCGTAAATATATATGAATGGAAGCCCTGAAACAATATACAGAATGTGGATCCTGTAATTGCAAAAAGGGAAAGGGACCTGTCTGGGTTCAATGAGCAGGGGTCTGCTTGTAGTCAGCAAAATGTAACTTACAGAGTCTATACAGTAAGCCAACAAAACACTGCTTTCCTATTAAAAACTGACCAAACTAGGCATGAGAGCACAGTGGCATCAGTTCACTAGCTGTGCTGGGAACTCAGCCTGCTCTCCTCCAATGATCAGACTTATCCTGACACGCTGCCCCCTGCACAGCCACTCACTGTGAAGATCAGTGTGCTGGTGTTTCTCCTCCTCCAGATCTTATGCAGCTGAGAACAGAGGGAATGTGATCACTTATTTTAGAAAAAGGGGGAAAAGATATTTATACTTTTTTTGTATCTATACACAAATGTTTTGCCTTTCATTTCTATTTTAAAGAATAGGTTCACCTTTGAGAACATGTTACATGTTCCTACTGCTGTAGCTTCTCCTCTATTTGCCGCCTCTAGTGACAGCAAACCAGGGATCTTCTCCCTGAATTTGCTGTCACAGGTTTTAAAAAAAAAAACAGCCATGTGTGGATCTGTTCTGTGAACGGGGTGATGGAATTCTATGAATGGGAAAAGTACCGACAGTCTTTGTGGCTGTCGGCTTGTAGTTCTCAATGAATTACCAGGGTGCTGTTGAGTGCATTAGGCACGTCGCTGTTTCATCCTGTCATTGTGTAAATGCCTGTATGTATGAGTAAGAGCAGACAGCTTACACTGACAGCCTGCAGCAGTCCTGCATTGCATTCGTGATCTACTGAGCGCTGGTGAAATGCGTTGCAGGCTCCTAGTAAAAACATAATCAATGCACTTTTTTTTCTGCAAAAAGATGTGCAGTTTTATTTTTTTTACAAAGGTGATCTTATCCTTTAAACTGAATGGGTTGTTTTACAAGGTGAGGGTTTACAATCACATTATGTACATCATATGGGCATACAGTGTAAAATACATCTTTTGTTGTGGTGCTCAAGAGCCACAGCTGCAGCGTATTTTTGCCTACAGGAATGCATTACAAAACCTGCCATGTGTGTAGCTGCCGGCACACGCATGTACTCACACACACGTATGGATGTATTTTTCCAGACTTAAAATGTAATGTTTTGAAAATCCTACCTATATGCATGTGTGAATAGATGCTGGTGCTAGCAGTTACTTGTGCCATGCTATTTTTATATAATAAAAATCTAGAATCTCTGTGTGATTTCCTATGATCAGACATGTCATCTAACAGCTTATGTTTTTTTTGCTTTCCACAGTGCGGCGCTTCTAAATCCTACAACACAGCTACTAATGAGGTCAAGATAGGCCTAAACTTGGCAGGTATGGCACAATAATTATCATATACATATGTACAGAAATGTTTCCTATTTGTTATGATATTATCACATGACATAGTCTTTTAGTGCCCGATCACACTGGTGCAATTTCAGGTGCGATTTGCGAATTGAAATCGCACCTGAAATCACATCTAATGAATGTGAATGTCAGGGTCTTAACCTGTGCGTTTTGCTGCAGTGCGATTTATAAAGTAGTTCTTGCATTGCTTTTTCTACAGTTTTGTCACGATTTCACATACATAGAATATAATGGAAATCGCACTGCAAATTGCAAGAAATCGTTGAAAATCTTCACAAGTAGCAATAAAGTCTTCAGAAATTGCGCTAAAATTGCACACAAATTGCGCGATTTTAAATCGCAGCAGTGTGACGGGTGACTTAAATTTATGAATCTTATTTTTATATTCTCTGCATATAATTGGGTGGTTGTCAGCAAGAGTGAAAATAGCATCTATAGTAAATTGACCCCACAGTGTCTTCAGCAATGTCCATCTTTCAGCACTCAATATTATTATTATTATACAGTATTTATATAGCACCAAAGGGTTTGCTCAGCGCTGTACAATAGCAAGGGGGACAGAACATAAGACAAAACAGTAACAATACAATACACGAGGGGTTCGAGGGCCCTGCTCTTTCAAGCTTACAATCTAGGAGGGAGGGGAAGTGGTAGAGGAGGAAGTGGCTGTGGGGGATGGAGTGGTGGGAGAAGTGGAGGAGATCGGTTGTTAGGTGAGGGTGGGGTAGGCTTCCCTGAAGAGATGGGTTTTCAGGGTGAGCCTGAATAGGTGTTAGGTATCAATGAGTTCTTATTAAGAATTTTAGTTACTTTGCTTCAACTACCTATCAGAAGCAGACTTACCCTACAGGTTTGAATCATTTTGGGGCTGTAGAAAAAAATAATTCCACTTCTTATGTTACATTCACACCTTTCTGTGCTTGATGCGGTATGTTTTAAGCACAATTTACTTGCACTTTGATGCGTTTGATATGTGTTACCATTCATTCCAATGGAAGGTGCATTTATCTCAGGAAACCATAATATGCAGCAAAATTACTTTTCTTTGCACTCCCTACCCACACAGTAGTAAAAAGCATAGGCACGAATGTGTCTCTTATAAGAAGACATTGATACACAAAGCCCAGATAATTTTCCACTGTTCACGCTTGTACTAGCTAACGCATTGGTCTTAGTATTTGGCGTTCTTCATCTTTGTCTTTCTTTATGTGTGATTCATCACCATTGTCTGTCTCATTTCTCCATGTGGTAGACATATTACACATCCTGACTACGGGTTAATTTACACTGGAATGCAGTGCGGGAAACGTTCATGGCATGCTTTGTGTGTGTGTGTGATCTGCTGCGGGTGTCAATATAACCATAATGACATCCCAAATGTGGAACGTTTTCCTGCACCAGATTGCATGGTACCATACTACCATATGATCTGGTACAGTGTGTTTTTGAAAACAGTGTATCTGCTACTTTTGGTTCGATCCAGTGCGATCACAACAGACTTAGTCTCATAAGAATCACACAGGAACGAGGACTGTGGTCCTGTGCGATTCAGGTGTGAACCGGCCCTAAATAAGACACTTTTTAGCTCTTGATGGTATGAACCTGTGTTTTGTTCAAACACCCAATTATGCTGCAAGGGTGGTATCCAAAAATATTGGGGACTTTTCCACAGTGTTGTAGGCCAATT